GGGTTTGATCATTCTGTAGAGAGTCATTTGGATCTGATGGGGGGTGATTGAAGATCTGGTTGTCGACCGGTTTCCAGATCTGGACACCAAGCCGACGCTGAGTCTCATTCCTCAAGGTGACTTGCAGGAATTCTACCTTCCATTGACGGCCTTCTCATTGGAGCCACATGCGAAGAGTGGCTGTCTGGGCCCTAGGTTTTCACAGGTTTGATCTGTTGATGGCGCAACCAAAGAATGTTTTTTCCTGCTGCAGACTGGCCGCAGAATGCACAATGCGCAGCCCATTTCAATGAGTTTTTGGACGGCTATCGGCTGTCGCAGGAGTCCGTTCGGATCAAGTTCTTGAACCCTCGATCAGATCGCCGGTTTGAACTCTTTAGCGTGGGGTACATTGATGGATTCACCAAAATCCTGATAATGACCAGCATCCTTTGCTTCATCCATGAATTGGATACTTGGCTCGTTTGGCTGCTGAGTGCATTGGCCATTTTGGAATTGTGGGAATGATGGGACTGCTAAGGAATGGACAGATGTTGAGTTGAATGATCCACGAGTGGTGAAGATGCTGCAATCGTTCAGGTGGATCAGGTGTTCCTACGTCTACCAAGCGAATCCGGCCAATCACTTCCTCTTGAGTCTCAGAATCTTCTCTTAAATTTGATTGCATGCATTCTTGCTGACTTGAATCCTATCTGATGTTTTTTTGATAAAACTTGCCATTGGTTGCTCAGAAGTGGGTCACGTGACAAGTGAGAAGCAGAGCCCGTCACCGCTGGACTTCTTGGGAGCCATCAGCGAGGCTGTAGTGTTGGAAAAGCAACTGGCCAAAGGAGGAGCTTCGAAAGCGCTCAAAGACCTGATCTTCAAGGTTTGCGCTTCTTACAATGCGCTGTGCACCATCCGAAAGCACAGAATAGACACTCAGCGGAAGGCGCTCATCTACAACTTGTGCCTTGGATCCGCGTGATTGCTGTTTTTGGGCTGCTCAAAATTCCTAGCCCTGATCGAAAGTGCACTCAGGATGCGTGCTCCCCGAGAAGTTGGTGCAAAATTGCATTCTCACTATGATAATTTCCCACCTACGGCTTCAGGCAAGGAAGTTTCATTTCAAATGTCATTTTCTATGGCGTGCTCAGCAGGTGTGCCATTGGAACTCCTTCAAGGAGATTTCTGGGTTCCAGGAGCCACTGTGCGAAGTGAAATGGCTGCCAATCAGCAATGGAAAGAGATTCTGACCCCAAGTGGGTTCACTTGCATTTTGTGGGTGGGGCGGCTCATTAAGGACAGCAAAAATTGAACATCATTCCAGTTTGGAATGCGGTTGCTGAGCTCAAGTTTTCCGTTTGACCTTTCTCTTCAGGATTTTGAAAGAAAAGTTCAGCGTGACTCAAGCCTGAAGACCAAGGCCCTGCTTAGTTTCCTAGAAAAGAACTAATCTTAGTTTTCAATCCCTGTGCAGAAGCTGAATCAACTTGGAGAAGAACAAGCTGCCAACCTCCATGACATCGTGTGCCTATGGCATTGGGTAAAGGAGAGCAGCGAGTTCACGAAGGATATCGTTGACCATCACCAGGAGCTGTTCATGAAGGGGTGTCTGTGAGACAATGGGGGAGGGTGAATGGTTTAGATCTAGAATTTGGCTGACACTTTGTTTTCAAAGGGTGCTTAAACAAATTTGGCCGCCGCCAACATTTTCTAGGGACGTGTGATTGATTTTCAAAAAAATTTGGCTGGCGCCAAATTTTTCTGGGGAAGTGTGATTGATTTGGAAAAAAATTGGCCGGCGCCAAATTTTTTTGGGAAAGTGTGATTGGTTCCCCAGAAACCCCGTCACAAATTCTGAGTTGGACTTGGCTGCCGCCAAATTCCCGGAGCATCCAAAACCAAGAAATATCAATCAAACCCACCATCCATTCCCAGCCTTGCAATTTGTGATTGGTTCCCGCCAGAACCCGTCACAATTCTAATGGTTTTCGAGGTAACCAATCATTCTTTGCTCTTATGGAATTAGATCTTCATGTGATTGATACCCACCAAAACCATGCTTTTTGTGATTGGTTCTCGTGAGAACCCGTCACACTTCAGAGAAACCCGACAGAGTCGCGAGTGTGATTGATTTTTTAATGTGTTTTTGTTATATTTGTTTTTTGGTAAACCCAGTTTCTTTCAGCCAAGGAGCTTGGACAATGATCTCGGGAATGTGATCAAGGCTGGCATCAACAATGCCTTCGATTGGGGCAGGAATCCATTCATACTTGAGGCACCAAGGGCAACACCACATGTGAATCAAAACGTCAGAGATCATTGAAACAACTAAAACGATCTAAAAGGAGTCTAGCATTGAATAGAGAACTCTGATTATGGGTCTACTTAGATTCAACACTTTGGATTGGGTTTGCATGCGCAACAAAAGCACCCCTGAAGATTCGTGGACAAGCGGTCGAAGAGTTCATTGCTTCTGCACAAGACCGGAGCCGGAACGCACATGAGAAGTCCATCCAAGCTGCATTTTTGTCGCGGGCAGAAAGTCTAAAGGCTGACCAAGTTCTTTTCGACTCAAATCGGCTTCTGCATCATGGCAGCAAGCAAACCACTGCTAAGTAGATTCGTACATTAGTTGTGAATCCCAATTCCCTGTTCTCAGAACCATTCATCAAACGTCTCCGGTTTTGTCGTCGATGCCTGCAATTGGCAAAGTTTGGAAGTGCATATTGGGCACGGGTCGAAATGCTTGTGGCATCTTGTGGCCATCCAAGGGGTGAGAAGGAAAGTGCAAAGCGAAGAAGCAAGTTGGTGAGTCAGCTTGAGGACCATCTCACTTTATTTAGAATAAACATGTCCGTTCGGGTTCAGAGTCTAATGTTACAACTTACAACAAACTAGCATCCAACATCATCCAACCCTGCAAGGCATTGCATACTCGTGCGTGGGAGCTCGTTGGTGACTATTTGAGGACAAACATGAGAGTCTTTTCTGGTAAGGCTGTGGAGGCGGAAAGCACTGTGCTTCCAAGCATCACGTCTTGGATCGAAGAGACACTACATGAGATCCCAGAAGTGAGGTCTTCAGAGGACCATGGACTGGTGATTTGGGTGAACCTACCATCCGCTGGGATTTTGACAGTGAACCGTTACGAGTACGTTGTGACTTCAGTCACAAACCTCCTGGCCATCTACCGCAAGAATGGCATCGCCTTGCTGATTCACCCGAATCGAGCCTCTCAGTACGCTGAAAGGACTCCATTTCAGGTCAGTCAAGTATCTTTAGTGACTTTAGTGCCAATATCTTGACCCTGTTATGAAGAGCAAGCACCCACACAAACTTACCCTGCTACAAATTGACATGACAACCGACATTATTTTCACTTCACTTCATTTTGCATTGGCAGGAAGGTCAAGACTGAGACAAAGGATGAGTCTGGTGATGAAGATATGGGAAAGCAAGAAGATGGTGAAGGCTCCGATGATGGTGAACCAAAGACTGCAACAAAAGAGGAAGAGTCTGACCTCCGAGACATTAAGTACAAACTGGAGAACCTTGCCCTTTAGGTCATGTCATGTGAATTCTGTTCTCACTGGCAAGTTCTCTTATTGGTTTCTCATGGAGCCTTTCAGGAAAGACTTCAGCTTGAAGGAGCGGAATCTGCAAGTCCGGAATCTGACTTGGGTCTTTGATCCTGATACTTAGCTACTTTTTGGAGTAGTCATCATTCCCGAACCCTAAAACAAGCATTGATGTGAATGGAGTGTCCAATCCATTAGACCTGCCATCATCCAAGGACACCGTCTATGGCCGGAGGGAAGGAAGCCTCAATGGACTGGCGATCGTGCACAACGACCGTCAGAACCACTTTTTGGCGTCCAAGCGGTTCAAGTTGGGTGTTGTGCACAACATCAAAATGTGCGCGCGTTCCATGATGTACAAACCTTCGGCGCCTTGCTTCAATAGGTGTGCAACATGTGAAAGATAGTCAAACAGGGTGTGACCATTTCCACAGTTTCCAACCCTTCTACTGTCACCGTTGCCAACTCTTCTTCCCCTCAGATTGTTCGCGTTCTACCCATGGCGCGCCTGTTTCGAAGGCATCTCCTTCCAACTTAGGCCTGCCACACCTGGGACGCGCTATGACAGACGTGCAGGAACTCAAGCAGGTTTCTTGGTGGAAGCCACTAGCAAATTCATTTCTTGTTCTCAAAAGGTGAATCGTTCTTGTTATATTGGTGGGAAATTGTCAGTTTTGAGTCACTTCGCTAGAAAAGGACATATATTGGAATCCCCTACCCCAAAGCCATCTAAACCTGTTTGACATTGTTCGACTGATTTCCAAACAAGTTCCTACAAGGTGGCAGCTGGCACTGATATAATCAAACAGTCCCTGAACTGCTTTTGTCCCAGCACAATGGCAACCAGAGTCCTTGTTGACCTGATGAGCTATGATGGATTTCCAGGCCTAGCATCATTGGAAGCCACTTGTCCTGACTTATCATCCTTTCCCTTTTACTGTGTCATCGGATTCCAACAGCTTTCAAGATCCAATTGTGAAAAGTACCAATCAAACAATACAGTACAAAGAAACTTTGCAGCCTTCTTCCGATTCTGAGTGCCCCTGAGCTTGCTTCAGGCTTAAACATCGTTTGCGGCAGCGTTGTCCTGGACAGTGGGCCTCAAGAGCTCACACAGCGAATTTCCAACGCTGTGTACGAATCGTGCAGATCCGGGGCCATTCAACTGAGGGGATTCCCTGACTACGCCCCTCTCATCAAAGCCCTACGTGATGAGACAGCACCGAAGCAAGACGTGACCTACAAAGTCTGCGCAGCTAGGGGGGAGAAGTTGGTGATTTTGAGGTCACTCGCACGGCGCTGGTTGGAACATGAAACCACGAAAGCTGATGCAGAAACCATGGTTCGTGAACACAATCAAAAGTTCTCCAATGACGATGGCTATCTGGAAGATGACGAGAGGACTTACTGTATTTGTTCATTTGGTTTGGAAACTGGAAATTGTGTTGTGGCCATTTTCCATTCCAATTATATAAAGATATTAGGAGAGACATTGTATAGTCCTAGAATTCTCAGGGTGAGTTCGAACACAATGAATCAATGCAATCATGCCATACAGTGCAAACACCCCTTGGCCCGTCATTGTGCTTCAGGACAGGGAAAACTGAGGATCAGCGCCCGGTCAAAAAGATGAAGCTCAATCCAACGGACACCTGCACAGAAGCGGATGTGTCATCCCTGGCCAACCCGCACCTTGCCCTTGGGTTCTTAGATGCCTTTCCCTAAGTCAGCGCTGTATCATATCTCGTTTATGCCCCAAACAGGGGTTGTCTCAGATGGATGTGGGTCAGCCAGGCAAAAGCTTGTCATCAACGGGGCTGCGGAGCTAGTTACAAATGGTGATCAACTATTTCTTATCAGCCGCAGCAAGAACAATTTTGCTATCCATCGAGAGATGTTTCTTGGCTGTTTGTCACGCAAGAAGTGCATGGTGTGCTTTTCCAAAACCTAATGACTTTTGGGCTCAGGTTTAGCTTTGGAAGTGGGGAGTGGAGAAATGGAGCTGACTCTTGGCTTTTGATTTCTCTGGGCCCAGTGGGTGCAAGGTTCATGTGGTCACTGTCATAAGGAAGCTCAAGAATTGACCCAAGATGCTGAAGGGAGATGGTTTTCATTCTCTGTGACTTTGTCCACCGTGGTCGTCATGGAGCGAAAGGGTATGGCTACCCACCTAGCATCTCTGCCATGTATTGAGACGCCATCAACTTTGGAAACGGTTTTGCGGGAGCTTGAGGACGCCGGAGAGGCTGGGCACCAAACAACAACCTGATCAGGTTCCAAAACACTTTGCTGTGTAGTGTATTATATTCTGTGTGTGCCCCTTGTGCCACACACACACATGTTAACAGTGGAACAAAACACAAAACACAATATGCGCGAATTGATCGAAGCAGTCTTACAGCAGCACCCATTCAACGCATTCACTATCCTTTGCTGTATATCACAAGAAGCTCTGTAGGTCAAGCTAGGCGTTTCGCATCACACCTTGACTGACGCCCGGGATGGGGTATCCTTGGACAAGACCTTGGTGTTTGCCTTGGACGCGCTTAAAGACGATGATGAAAAGAAGAAGAAAAAAGAAGAAGGACAAGTCTACGTTGACCAGCACCAGCTTTGGCTCTGTGCTGAACATCAGTTCTTTCAAGAACTGTGAGAAGCTTGCCATTGGATTTCGATGCAGGCTCACTTTCTCCTGTGTTCTATGTTTGACATTTGTTTTGTTATGTTGCTTTGCTTCTCAAAGGGTACTTAGTGATAGACTTGAAATTAAACCTTGCAGGCTTGATGCTGATGCCGCAAGTGGGTCAAAGGTCATCACCCCCATCCGGCCCATCGCTTGCCTTGGCGGCAGTGTCGAAATCGACAAAAGCATCGTCCGCCTCATGTAGGAGCAAATGCAGTAAGACTGGGTAGGTCCGGGTAGGTCAGTGATTTGATGCTGCTTGATGGGATGCTTTCGTGGGGCCATGTTTAGCATAAGAACACTTCCAAAAAACTTTATGGTTTGTTTGAGACCTGTTGCGTGGTATGAGTATGGTCCCTGCAAAGCTGTTTCGGCGGCATATTTTGGAATGACCAACAGGTCGTGTGAGCACGATGCAGTGACCCGGTACACCTGCACAAAAAGGATCTTGAGTTTAGTTGCTTGCACCGGTACATCTGTTCAAAGGAATCTTGAAGAACAGCTCTTTACAATCATGTGTCGCTTTAACATCACTTCTTCTCCCCTCAAAGTGGCTCAAATTTGAAATTGAAGGCTAGTGGCTAGATTCTGCCAGAGTTAGACGATAGGAGAAAGTGCGTTACAATGGCTAACCGTGCTACTCCGGGTTCTGCATCTGATGATGTGGAAATCGTTAGTGAAAAATTTGCCTGGAAACCTCCAGCCCCTTGGCAAATTGGATTGGGATTGCAAACCTGAAACATCTCGAAGCATGTTGTTTCCATCACATCGTGTTGCACCAACTACGCTATACTTGAAATGCCTGATGAGGACTTTGATCTCCAGTCCATCCTTGGATCTACTCCGCGACGGGAAACACAGTCAATTCCATCGCCTTTGCCAAAAGCGGCTTCTTCTCGAGCGGGTCCGCCTGTGCAAGAAGCAAGGGCACGTCCCAATGAGAGTGGAGGCCTTGAACGTCCAAGAAATTATGGTTGAACAGAAAGCACACACCCAGTTCGTTTTTTGTTTTCTTTGTGGGCAGGTCAGCCCCAGGCTGCTTCTTCGGCTGCACCAAATGCTTTTCAGGCTATTCCCCCTCGTGTACCCTCTTCAAATGAGGAATCCTCTTCAGAAAAAGTTGCTCCTAAAAAGGCAACCAAGAACTCAAAAAAAAAGGCTAAACCGTCCAAGAAGGATGAGGTGGCTCCGGATGATGATCATGCCCCACTGGGCCTGGGCTGTGACGATGACCAGGATGGTGATGATGCGGACCTGAAAGGATTGGATCAGTTGTTGAACTTGTCAGCAAAGAAGAAACCAGCAGCATCCAAAGGTGGCAAAGGTGGCCAGGGTGCCCCCAAAAGGAAAACGCAACGATCAAGTACGAAGACTGGAAAGCGCACGGATCTTTGGTTGTCAAGCTTTTGGTGATATGGAAATGGACTCCCAAATATAGACATTCTATTAGAGGATGCCCCACCACAATGATTTGTCCAAGGATATGGAATCTTTTGCTGAGAGACTTGAGAAGAGTGTGACCAGTGTCTCGGGTGCAAAGCATAAACCAAGCTCTTCTAACTTCTAATCTGTCATACCTACATGTTCAATGTTCACAAAGCAGCATCCAAGGGAGCCCAGCAATCCAGACACAGTGCCCACTGAGTGACTTGGTATATAAGTCAATTTTCTAACTATTATGAACTATTATGAGCTATTATGAACTAAGGCCTGGGGACTGGCTATGGGGAGCAGAGACCTTGGAATTTCCCCTCAACATTATCCCAGAAGACTATCCTGAGCCTGACAACCAGCTTGGGTTGCCAGATCTTCCTAAGAAGCGTCTCTTCGATCACGATTCGTGTTTCTTGGAGGATCGCATCAAGGCTCTTTGTGACAAGTGTCTTTGAAACTTTGAAAAGGCTTGCCAAAGGCTTGACAAACACATCGCATTTTTGGAAGCCTGCAGGCCTCGCCTACACCAGTCAGGAACCGCCTCAAGCGTCTACGACCATGCGACGACTTCTCGTGCCTTGAGAAGATGGAGGAGACCAGAAGCCATCGCAGTCTTAGCGCGTCGTTGAACGTTGGCCACACAACGCAACCACAAAGACTGACAAGTTCAAAACCTCAAAATTAGTGAAAGCCCTTACAGGTTAAGCCCAAAGAGATTGAGCTCTATATACCATAAGCTCTATCAGGTTCATGACCAAAACCTATCTCAAATGTAGAGCAAGGCCTTAAAAATGCCAACGCCTCTTACTGTCTAATACACTTGGTTACAGTTCCATTATCTTGGTCAACCACCAACACAACAACTTGTGAACACTGCGCATGTCCACTGGCTTATCATTTGCAAGCTGATTCCTTGTTGTACTTTTTATAGTAGGACACTAGAGGTGAGGTCCACTATTGCTAGGTTTGTCACATGTGTCCTACCCTGACCTCAACCTGAAGATCTTCAATCATGCAACTGCCAGACATGCTGCCATGTTCGGAAAGGAAACGTGAATGAAACTAGTTACTAGTTGTTGGAGAACTGTTGCCATTTTCTTATGTCCTTTGCTCCTCTTGTAGCACATGTTCTCCCTGCTGATGTGTTCCCAAAGAGATGGTCAATGAGGCAGGTGGTGGATATTGATTCATCGGAAAGCGCGAAACAGACACAGGCGACCAAGCAACAAGCAAACCATTGAATCATATGACATGTCATACGATCAAACCAATCAACGAGGCAACAAAAAAATCAAAGAAACACGGAAGATCAACAACACTTCCCAAAAGAACAGGTAGAAAGTCTCAGAGTGAACAATACGTCATCCTTCCCTCACTTCAACTCACTCATGCCCTGAGGAGCAACGTGATGTGGATCTTTCTGATGCATTGGGCCGCCTGCTGCAACCTGTTCAACATGAGGATGCAGGCACGATTGAGGATAACTCAAAAGTGGCAGGAGAAGGTACTCCACCTCTGGGTGGTGACCAAGGGATAGACACGGCAGGCCACGGCCTTGAGGCAAGCGCCTTGTTGGATCAAGAGTGCTACACCGAGAGTGGGAATGCAAAGGAGGAACATGGCCACAATTGCCACAAGAAGGTTGAGGTGAAGAGCGCAGACCGCATCAACACGATTGAGCCAAGTGAGAAGCACAGTGTGAT